CTTAGGTTATTAACTCGTTGCATGGACTTTCGTTTTTTGACTGCCTATATACATACCCGTAACGTATTTTGTAGTAAAGAGCTAATGTGGTTTGGTATATCTAAAACTTAATTTGGGTACATTTAAGAAGAATTGGGAACGTGGGGCTAAAACAAAGCGCCAAATTTAAATTCCCATCAAAATCGATACGTTAGCTGAATTATATCTTCAAATCAATAAACAGTGTAAAATGTAGGTCTGCTTTATTTATGATGCAAACGTTATAGGTTACACTTTAAATAAAGTAAACAATTCCTAACCGAAAAATCTAAGTTAAATCATTATACAATTCTAATGATTAATTTAATTATATTATAATAGACGTACCTTATCTCAAACAGCTGATGTAACTGTGACGTCACAGGAAAATAAAATGCAGGTAAATGACTGTGGTTTCCACAATTAATCAATTATCTGATAATTAATGATAATAATAATAATAATAAAATAGTGACTTTTTAGAAATAGATGGCGTTTGTGATGGTATAAGCTAGACTTTCTTGGGTTAGCTATCTGTTGAGTTCGTTTATGACTTGTATGTAGGCAAACACAGAATTTAATGTTTCGATTTAGAACGCGAAACTGAAAAATTCTCACCGACCGGACGGCCTATGCGCAACTGCGTCCGCGAGATCGGCACCTACGCCGACGATCCGGCGGAGGAGCTCGAGATGCCGCTCTCCCAGATGAAGAAATTCACCCCGCCGCCCGTCAAGTCGAATCGCGGCTTCGAGTGCGGCATGTGCAGCTCGTGTTTTCCGACCGTTCACTCGCGCAACAGCCACATGCGCATCCACAAGGCGGCCCTACAGCAGCTCAACTCGCTCTCGCGGAAGAGCATCAACATCATCAAGACGCGGCCGGACAATCTCGCGAAGAAGATGGTCAACATGGGGGGCGGCGTGCAGTCGTTCGCGAAGTTCGCCGACATCAAGATCAAGCAGGAACCGATGGAGCCGATCGTCGAGATACACGAGCAGCCCTCGCCGACGAACTATCCCAGCTCGATCGGCGCCGTTAGCATCACGCCCATTCCGAACTCGTCGCATACGACCAAACTCGATCCGAGCATCATGAAGCTGGTACAGAACAACCCCAATCTAACCATAAAATCGATGGTCGAACAGAACTCCAAGCAAAACATGGCGCAGGTCTCGAACGCCATGGATGGCGACACCAAGTGCTACCGGTGCCTGAGTTGCTCGAAACCGTTCGCGAACAAGTCTAACCTATACTTTCACAAGAAAAACCAGTGCAGCGGGTCTAAGTATCCATGCCCGTTCTGTAAGAAGCGGTTCGGCACAGAAGCCGCCTACAGTTCACACATTTACTATAATCATCCCGAGTAAAGGGAGCCGTGTGACGTATCACACCACTTTTTTTTTCACCTTCAGGATACTTCGCCTTTTTTCCTGTTTTTTTACACGTAATCACTTAAACTCCTCACATTGTAATAAATAGGGCGAAAGATGCGTGAACGAGGCTGTTTAAGTGAATCTCTCTGTCTCTCTCTATCTAGTTTATTAAGTCTTAGAAATGATAACCTCAATCCGCGTTGTGTGTGGATTCATCTCGTTTGCTTAATTTTTTTATATTTAGTGATGAAATACGTAACTGGAGTGTGTTTGAAGTTTGCTATTTAGAGCTAGTTCCTAAATTTCGAATTAGATTATTTTTTTCGTCTGCATTAGCAAGTAAGGTATGAACGTGTATTCGTATTACTCATATTTGTATATTTTTGATGGCTGTATTTGATTCAAAGTGATAGGCTTAATGAAAATATAATTTAGGCAATTTTAACCGGTCGATCTCGATCGCTTCTACCACTTAATAGTCTTTATTATTTAAAAACGTTTTTGTTTTCGACCTCAGTATTTAATGACAGTGCGTTTTTGTACAAAAAAAAAGTCATACCGGATGCCATTTTTTTTACAGCGATCCATCAGTGTATATACATTTAACGTTACGATGACTTTTTAAGTAAATTTTAATTAACAAATTGTGTTGTATTACTAAATTAGTTTAGAATGGAGTTAGATCTGAACTAATTAGGTAAACCCCATCATAATGTCAATGTAATTTATAGAGCAGTGACATTTATTTATTTAAGTCTCAGTTTAGTAGTTATGACATTGTATATATATTTATGTAATGTAGTGACAATTGTATTATGGAATATATCGAATATTTAATACATACAGTTTGCTCTAAGGTGACTGTTTCAGACCTAGTCATCACCATCACCTAACAGTATACGGGCGTCACTAAATTTGATATTAATTTCACAGGAACTGTAAAATCTCGGGCAATCACAACAAAATGTATATGATTGTCGAAACTAGCTACTGAATAAAATACGATTATTTACTAAGTTGTGTTAAGAAAATGCATGCCGTGACGGATGGTTAGAGAATCAAATGATCAAAACAATTATTTTTCATTTTTACAAATTCCCAGTTATGATTTAACCTCATGCATAATTACGTGTTTGATACCGTTAACTTCTACTGCTCGTTTTTATTTTTGGTGTCATGTGTGCTCATTTTATGGTTTTGTTTTGATCATTCTTTTAAATATGTGGTAATTATCGAATTGTTTGATGTTTGTCCTGATTTGAACGAGTGGCAGGAAGGTGACGTAAATTCAATAACGGGGCTCCGAAGTCTTGTCAATTCAGCTATAGCATGTATGTCACAACTTAACTGCCTAACGTGATATCCTTGCTAAAGAAAACGGTTTGCGTTCAGTTTTCGTGTAAAGTTTGCTAAATTTTTGTTTAAGTTTTGATTACAGTCTTGGTCCCAACTTAGATCTATATGTTTGAACATGTTAAAATTATCGAATTGTTTGATATGTGTATGTGTACTTGTTGGTAAACTAACATTTTCGCCTTGAAGAGACAGCCACGGGGGTTGCAAAAACTGTAAGCAAATGACTTACGGCACTCAATACCGGAACAGATCTCGGCAATCAACTGTAGGCTCGAGAGGTCTAATCGAAAAAGTACGAATCGTTATGGATTCTACGCACCAAAATTAATAAGAAAAAGTGTTTTCCCGAGAAATTTTGGTGCAGTCGATTTTTG